GTAGGCTTAAAGATTTAGACATTTTCCAGTTGCTACTACATTACTTGTTAAAATTGGCTTTAAAAACAGTTTAGGAACTATGTTGTAGAATTAACATTAATTTTATCTCCCTCTCATTTAGGTACACACCCTCTGTGAAAAACATTATAGAGTTTTCCATTATAAATGAAAGGTAACGATGTGAATAATGGTATTCAAGTCACATCATCTCCAGTTTTTATATCATGATGCAAACTGACCTCATAATTTTGTCATCTTCTGTATTTACAGCCCAATAATGCTTTTCTGGCAGTTCACAAGGGCTACTGAATTTATGAGGCACTTGCAAGTCAGGTATTTTACAAATACTTTGCCTGCATTTCTCGAAAATGATTTCTAGAGAAATTTAAGCCTACTGTGTGTACTAGATTAAAACAGCATAAGAACTAAGTTGTAATTGATACTATTTTGTTTTAAATTTTATTATATGAAAATACAAGTTTTCATTATTGATATTAACTTGATAGAACAAAACGCTTTATTTTTACAGATAACTCTGTTTATTCTGGTTTTCAGTATATAAAATGTACCCAGTACCAAATTCCTTTAGCATATGCATAAAAATAACTTAATAAAACCTGACTCAACCCATGTATTGGCAAAGAGGAGACAAACAATTTAGCTTGCACTAAAACATAGGCGATTCTAATGCCATCAGAATTATGAAATTGATTCTGGAATAAAGAGTCCAAAGTCAGTCACAAGGTACTTCACATCTTACTCTGTGGACTATAGTCAAGTGTCTCCATCCACTTCATCCATTGTAACAAAACAAGGATAGAGGCAGTTCCTTTGAGAACCAGCACCTAAGGCAGAGAGGTTTTCTACACCAACATAAGCACTTTGATTTACATGTGAAAGGGAACAGGAACCATGGATTATACTTTAACTCCACTAATATATTGCGTGCACTAGAAAACATATGGCTGCATGTTGCAGTAACTGATGCATCTGAGTGATCTTGCCCAGCAAGTTTCATAGTGTTCACTTCATAAAATCTAACAGGAAGATTTAAAATCCATAAAAATGTGGATGGCAAGTGAGACAAGTGACTGAAAACATCTGTATGAGGAGAAACGCATATTATCCTGCACAACTGACTGGCAGTGTGCTATCATAAAACATTTCAGATTGTTATAAAAGATAACAAAGTTGTATCTGAAATGTCCTCTCCCCTATCCTTCCCAACATACATACATTGTCCAGTTAAAACTTGGACAAGCAAAATCCACACTAATGACACCAAGTGAATGTGAAATAGGTACATCTCTTGTTCAGCTGTTAAAATCGACAAAATGATGTTAGGGTTTCACATGTACAAGGCAGTTCTGAAACTGGACAATTAACTTTGATTATCTCAATTTCACTATTTCTCCCTAGCCCCTCCCTCCCCTTGTCTTCATCTCACCCTATATTAAAGTCACAGTGCTTTTGTTGCTGATATCAAACAAAACAGATCAAGCTAAAAACTTGACAGCCAAAATATGTTGTAGACAGGATCCCTTTGAACTATCCGTCAGCGTTGTAACACCCTCTCCTGACTGGGCTACCTATTGAAAAATATCTGTCTAAATAAGTAACATTAAAACCTGGAACAAATGGATTCCCTGACACCTACAGTCACATAAAGAATTCTAGCTCTAAGCCTTCAAAGCAGAGAGGGAGAGAGGGAGAAAAGAACAGGTGAGAGTGTACGTATGTCCGATGAGGAAGATTTGCTGAATCACACAAAGCAGATGTAGGAGCAAGGCCTATGTCAGTTACTTTAAATACACAGTGGTACATCCAAAACATAAAGAATCCAGTTCTGCATTCCAGGACAACGCAGACATACTGCAGACAATGACTAAAACAAGCAATAGCAAAGCCCTCTGAGAGGAGGGCAATTGAAAAAAGATTAAAGATTAAATCAAAGAATGTTAACATTTAATATTCAGAACACTAACTGAATCCTTACTGCCTGGGCTATAAATAGAATCTTACCGTGGGTTGGAATGAGAAAGTAGGCTCATTTCTTTCTGATAGTGATGCTCCTGACTGATGGGCTATGGAAAACAAAAAATAATAGTGAGAAAATAACCTTGCAAATATTTTTTCAGAATGTTTAGAATTATGTAAGACATCTCTTATGAGCACACAGATTTGCAGCTTCAGATATTAGAATTTTAGTCTTTTTTCTTATCTGTGAAATTTAAAATGAATATTCAGATCCTACCTGTGCAAAAGTACAACTGAATAGATGATTATTGCCTGGGTGGAAAATACATATGAATTAAGGAGTCAACCACATGGGTCATTTCTCTGCTGCCTGTGAGTGTGTTGGGACAGAGTCAGGAAACTTCAGAAAGGGAAGGGTGGCAAAGTCTTGTCTGATGGAAAAGTCTGGACTGTACGTGTATAGGAAGCATGGTGCAGGAACTCTTGGTAGGATCTGTGCAGAACCAACCATTCTTAAGACTAGACAATACCGAGCCAGAGCTAATAGGGCTGGCAGGCAGGGTTCCTCTCTCCTCACAAGCACCACTAACAGTAATCTTAGCAGTCCCAAATGAGTTTGCTGAAGCACATATGATTCTCTAAGGCACTAACAGCGGACTGTATGAATATTCTTAGAAAAGATGGAAATTTTCCACAGTCTTCAAATCTTACCTATGCGTTGTAAGAATGTGCCCCAAAGGTTTCAAACTACATTAGGTTTATGGCATTAAAAAGTTATTTGAAAGAAAGATCAATATCCATAAACAGGTACAAAAATTCAATAATCCTAAAATTCAGAAATAATTTTCTCTCAGTACATAGGTAGCGCTTCCAGAAGAGACCGCCCTGCCATTACCACACAACTCAAAAGCAGTTCTAAACAAATCACTGAAGGAAATGCAAAAGAAGTAAAAATACAAGCATACATTAACAATACTTGTACAGTTTAGGACATGAAATGCTAAAAATAAATACTAAGCATTATGAAAGCCATGCTTTTTTTACAGAAATCAATATGAAAATGAGTATGTTCTCACGGTTTCAGGAAGTGAGGAGGGCCATTGTAAAATATATGTTCAGGATGAATGACATCCTAATTACTGCCAAATATGAGTCACTGCCTGGTGGTGGATAGTGCAATTCCTGAATGATGACTACTGGAAGACTGAGGATGAGACCGAAAGTGAATTCGTCAGCCTATGAACCAGAATATCTGTCTAAATAATTTTTAGTCTCATTTCATAGTAAAGAATAGTCTGCCTCAGTTTTGCAATTTGACTTGATGTGAACAGATCCCTCCAGGCATTGTCAAACTGAGCTCTCAGTTGAAATAATTCTGGGTTTAAATATCACTCCTCTTGTCTGTCAGACTTCAGTTCTGCCAGACCATTTTAGTGTTAAGCGGCTTTCTTTTCTGAAAGCACCACAAACGAGGCCAGAAGACCTTCCACAAATTAGGTATGAACCTGAAAGTACTCTTTGAAATATTTTGCAGATCAAGGCTTATGTGACTGAATTTATATTTAGTAAGTTGCTTTGGGAATAAGTAATCTTTCTTCTCTGCAAATACTCCTTATTTGAAAGACAGGTCTTAGTAGTGAGCATATTTTGGAGTGTGCTAATGGAGCATTATACCTCTACAAGCTTCTAGGGTATATCAAGACCAATCTAGGAGACTCTTCCTTCTCCTTTGTATTTCTGACTAAGAATCAAGGACCATATGCAATAAGATATCCTGAATTCTCTTATAAATAATCTTTCTCCAGAACGTTTGTGTTACATTTGAAGTGTGGAAACAGCTATCCAAGAAGATGCATGAACCAATTCCCTGACAGGGCAGGAAGGTCTTACTGGATCTCGAGAATAAAGCAAGGCATTTAAGAAGAAATATTTTGTCAGCTTTACAAATTTTCTTGGATAATGCGTATGTGTGTGGGTATAAACTTCACATTATACTCTGCAATATATAGAGCTGCATCTTTCATATTGTTGCAAAGCTAACATGGAATTTCATAGACCTTATAATTAAGACAACATGCAGGTAAGACACGGTCAAATAAAGTCTTTTAAAATACTTAGTTCTACATAACACATATTACTGATTTGGAACTGTGCCCCACACACATTTTACAAAGGTTTCCAATTCTTCTTTGAAGTTAATCCGTTTTAAATTAGAAGTTTTTCGTATTTATAACTGATAGCTATGCTGGGTAATGTATAACACTCAAAGCTATTTTATTCCTTTTTGGCTGCCATAGTTTACAGCAGCTTCTAAACAACTTACATTTCAACAATTTCTCCTGATAGCATATATTCAGTTCTTGGTAAACTATCATAGGATATAAAAATACAGTTTTAGTATATCTGTTTTATAGTTGTTTAAAGACATCTGTTCTAACAGCAACTTTGCAATATGATTGATCTATGTGTCTCTACATTCAGAAGGGTTTCCTAGATTCATTCAAGTCAGTAACATGAGAATTTTCCATGAATGTGGAAATTAGACTGACAATGGCAAGTGTTGAAAAAAATATACTCACTTAAAATGTGTTTTATATATAAAATATTACTTTGATACATAGGCTCACCATCTAACCTGACTATATCCTGCCCTGCCTTGCAAAAACATCATAGGTATTTCAAAATGAAAGATGCACAAAAAGCTGCCTTCTGGTGGTGCTGTTGCCATAGATTCCACTAAGGGACAAAAATGTTGTATAAAATGAATGAAAATTTTGAATAAAAATACTCCTTACTTATCTTTGAGGAACATAAAAGAAAGCAATAGATACTACTGATTTAAATAATCAGAAAGATACAACCTGGAAACACATGTAAGCACGAAAGTTTAATCATGATAAGAATTTCAAGCTGTTCTTAATTTCTCAAACTACAATATGAAGATTATTTCTATTTCTTTTCTATATACTGCACAGCTAAAATAATTTGCCTATGCAACTGGAAGATGTCTACGGATATACATAAATTTTCTGCAGCTTGTACATCTGATTTTGGGAGAGTTGATCATTTGCAAATTCTCTTGACTCAACTCAAACGATGGTACTAAAGATCAGTGACAAAAACAAACTTGCTTTTATTCTACACATTTTTTACATAATATATGTAAGGAATAAATATACATAAGAGGAACACTTCTTGGTAAAAATTGGACGCTGAAGAAACAATGACTTTACTCAGGCTGATGGACGAAGGGATTGAGAGCAGTCCTGTGGAGAAGGACTTGGGGGTGCTGGTAGATGAAAAACTGAGTATGACTGAGCACTGGCACAGAAGGCCAACCATATCCTGGGCTGTATGAAAAGCAGCGTGGCCAGCAGATTGAGGGAGGTGATTCTCCCCCTCTACTCCCCTCTGGTGAGACCCCACCTGGAGTACTGTGCCCAGCTCTGGTGTCCTCAGTGCAGGAAAGATATGGACCTGTTGGAGCGAGTCCAGAAGAGGGCCATTAAAAGGATCAGTGGGATGGAACACCTCTCCTATGAGGACAGGCTGAGAGAGTTGGGGTTGTTCAGCCTGGAGAAGAGAAGGCTCCAGGGACCCCTTATAGCGCCCTGCCACTGCTTAAAGGGGTCCTATAAGAAAGATGGGGACAAACTTTTTAACAGGGTCTGTTGTGATAGGACAAGGAGTAACTGTTTTAAACTAAAAGAGGGTAGATTTAGACTATATATATGGAAGAAACTTTTTACAGTGAGGATGGTGAAACACTGGAACAGGCTGACCAGAGAGGTGGCAGATGCCCCACCCGTGGAAACATTCAAGATCAGGTTGGATGGGGCTCTGAGCAACCTGATTGCGTTGAAGATGTCCCTGCTCACTGCAGGGGGGTCGGACTAGATGATCTTTAAAGGTCCCTTCCAACCCAAACTATTCAATGATTCTACAGTTTTAGGTCTTACAGCAAGACTGAAATCCAGGAGAAGCAACCTTCAAACATGTTCTAATCGTTTCAACTAGGCTGTATTTTGATTTCTCAGTTATGCAGACTACCTATGCATACAGTAACACGTTTACTGCACATGTGAATGCTATGTGCGGGGACTCACTGAAAACAGCTATATGAAATTATCTGACAGATTTATAGATTTGAAAGCCAGAGGGAAGAACCAGATCAACTCATGATCATATGTATATCACGGGCTATTAAATAAAACACACTGAACGGCATCAGATCTAGAATGGAGTGAATCATGAAGTAAGTTCCTCTGAATATACTCTACTCACAGATAATTCCCTGCTGACTGCTTTTCATAGTTGTCAGTTGACCAGTTCTGAATTCGTTCAAGGTGTGCTTTATCAATATTGTATGGTGCTCATTTTTAAACAAGTATGTACAATGGTCTTAGCATGTTACATCTAAGCAGTTGCCTTATCAATTGTAGCTTTAACAATAAAATTAGATTTTTTGCACAGGACACACATTCTATAAAATGATCTTGTCTATCATTAACCATATTACCATCCTTTAAATCTCTGTTAACTGAATCCCACACAAGAGTTCTCACTGTTTTGACAAGGATATCAGACTAACTTGCCTACATTAACTTTTTCCTTTTAGCTACCCATTTGACTACTGTCACAGCATCACTACTTTCAAAGTCTTCTGAAATGTGGTAAGCATATAAAAATATACTAAAATCTAACACTAGCATACTGAAAATGACCCCAGCTACTGTTTTAAAAGCTTCTGCGTTAAAATAACTTGGAGTGATTAAATAATCACCTTCCCTAATGTTTATAAACATCTTAGATATTAAAGGTCTAGAAAATGAATTATCCCCCCCACATGAACACTTTGCATTTTCCCAAATATTGGAACAGAATTACATCAAACAGTGTTAAACAAGTTCATAATCCAAAAACTCAGACCACATCTATGAATAGCTGGTGCTGTGGCAGCTATCTTGGAAAGAAAAATATGAAGCGAATCAACAGATGCTGTGGACTAACCGACATTGTACTGGTAGAGAGTCTCTTTGCGTAAAGGCAGGGGTATAGAGGTACAGAAGACCATGGAAGCTGAATTTCATCAGTCTTCATTGTAGTGAGTGACTAAGTGGTTAGTCCTATCTGAGAAAGATCAAGTGTGCTTTCTAAATTATCACTTCCTAGAAACAAGGTTCTTGCCATTAAATCTTAAAAACTCAGTGCCCACCCCTGCAAAATGCAGAGGAGAAACCTGACAAGGCTGTATGTGTAGACACTTCAGTCAGCTGAATTAAATTTGAAAAACTTCTCTCTCAAAGACAAGTATGTTGCCTTTTACACTTGATTTATGTAAAGAAAGATGACCACAAAGGACTATTATGAGAAACTACAGCTATATTAAACTACAACTTAAATGACTAACCTGTTCTATCTAAACACTTTTTTAGACTGGTGCTATTAGTCTGAAGCTACAGAAGCTGAGCAAGGCAGTAAGATCAAAGAACTGTCTTTGCAATCACATTGTGCTTCACTGAATACTGGAGCAATATGTTTAACTTTAAAAGTTCATTTTGTTTTAGTCATGAAATTTGTATTAATCAAACCTGATGTGTCTAAATATTCTTACGATTTTCCTTATAATTAAACTACTCAAAAATTAATAAGACTGCTATTCTCTTTATTTAATTGAGTTCCATTCATCCAGTCCTGCAAATTTACACCATGTTTGAGTCTATTTAGTGAGCCCTGACAAAACACATTGGAAACATGCTGAAATCAACTAAATGTTTAATGTTGATGTATCTCAGTTAAAACCAACTGATGCTTCCCTGATATCCTGCAAAATATTACTCTGTAAACCAAGTTCCTGTTTCTACAATTACCTGCTTATTGATACATCTCTTCTCATTTAAAACCTTCACTTAGCAGCGTACCACAAAGTTCCAACGCTGTGTTGATCATCCACCACAGAAGACTGCTACTACAGGCCTCTATTTGGGCCTAACAGATCCCTGGAGGTAATTTGCCTAACATTTCAGAGCATTTACTCTACAATAGTTTATATTGGGGCAACACAGCAGTATTTACTCGCCTAATGTTGGATCTGCCTCAGAGTTGTGTTGTGTGCTTTACTTAAGCCACTTTCATTGTTTATTTTTGTTTCACCTACAGTAAAATAAGAACTATGTTACATAGACATAAATGGAGTATGAGATTATTCAGTTTTACAGCAGCTCCTGCAAGTACTTTTATATAGTTGCAGAAATGTTATTCTGTGATTTCATACATTCAATACTCTTCCATGGACTGTAACAAATACTCCTCTGCTTCTTATAACAGTACTTTGTCACACAGTGCAGCTGTGTGTGATTTTGTATCACTTTGTACCAGGACAAATAATGACACTAGGTGTGAAATACAGAAGGATCACACACTAAAGCACTCAGAACTACTGCAGCTTTTTGCTGCTGTTCTCCTGCGACAGTCCTTTAAACAGTTAGCTTTTCAGTAATGAGACTTTATCATTGTAAGAAGCAATTATTTTTCATTACTTACACTGTAATGCAGTTGCTGACTGGCATATCTAGGTTTCATTCATTTTGGAACTATTTTTAAGTACTATATCATACACCTGCAGGTTGTCAGCCACTATTGTCACAAGCTGTACAGCCTACATGATTATTCAGGATTCCAGGAAGGAATATATATAACAGATTTGTTCTTTGTCCATGGTAGTACTACAGAACCTGATGGAAGCGCATGTGTTTTGGTTGCACATTTTACTTGATAAGTTCTAAAAAACATTTGGTAATGATACCTTAAATTTCAAAGCTACTCAAAGAAATACAAATATTCAAGACCCCTGAGTGTCAGAATTGATAGAAACTATATAGAGAAAATACTGTGCGTTTAGACTTACTGGTGGGAAACCAGAGTTCCAGGTTGCTGTATCATCACTGCTTGTACTTATACTAACATTGCAGTTATCTATCTGAGATGCGCTCAGTCCATGTGAGATCCCAGTATCCTGTAATTCTTCATTTTGTTGTCTCTTCATGCTAGCCAGCATCTGTAGTTCAGATGAACTCAGTCTATCTGACTGGTAGTTTTTCCAGTCATATTCCTGTGAAATAACACAGAAAAGTCAACAATATACGCAGGATCATGGAACAGAATATATGAATGAAACAGATACCTTGGAGAATCTCTTGGGGAATCTTCAAGAAGCTACAATACTAAAAGAGAAACAAAATGTTTACTAGAAAAGATTAGTTAACAGATTTCTGTTCAGCTATGAAGATCAAGCATTTATACACATAATTACAGGAAGGAAGAGGAACACACACACTGTTATGGACTGCACTTTGGATCCCGGGTGTTTGGTGAAGTTGCTGTTCCACTGCAATTAAAACCAGAAGATAAAAGCAGGCTTTCAGAAGCTCAAAAATCCAGCAGCTAAAATTTCTTAAGCATTAAATGCAAATCTTGAACAAAACCAAATCACAGTTATCGTGGTATCATAAACACCATCAATGTAACATTTAGTTATTTGTCAAGCACAGCACAAAATTTCTCTGGAAAGCTACACATGTCAGCACCGAATCTTAAAAGTTATTTTGGCAACTTGCTGGTGTATACATTTTAAAATAAACATCACTATATTTTCATTTTTCTTTATACCCATTGGTTGAATTGTTAATATAACTCTAATTGTTATATCAAACTTGATCTACAGACCAAAAGCTAAAAACATGTATTATCTATTTCACAAAGCTTGAACTTTGAAAATTTGAACTGCAGCTTTATCTGAGTAAGTGAAATACTACAGCCACGTTCAATACCTTCAGGCTATGACAGCACACAAACATGACATTTGCTTTTAAAATCTCATGAACATATATGAGTGATTAGTAAAATATTCTATAGGTTCAACTATTCAGCTCCACAGAGGTAGGATGTACACAGCCCACAAAAGATTCATACATTGGACATTGATTTCCTTACTTTAAGGAAATCACGCAAGAAGATATGTATATAACCTAGATTTTCATGTATATTGCTTAGTATTTCACAGGCAAATTGCCCACTTTCACTAGAAAGATATGAAAACACTGCTGAAAAAGGATGTTGTTTTCAGTGACACACAGCACTTTTTTTTTTTTTTTTTTTCTGTTTTAGATTTCCATATACCTTAATAAAACTGTATTTTCTGGGAATCAGAAAAACATTATTGTCCATCTGATCCTTGTTCCTGTCAGCTTTTCTTGTCCTTGGGATCAGAGCAAAGCCAGATAATGAAGGATACTACATTACTTATTTCCCCCTCAGAAGTTTAACTGGGGATATGTTCATAGATTCATTCGCAGTGCTGAACTCCAAGTATATGATGTGCAATACGATGCACACTGGACAGATGGAGAAACCTTTCCTTTTTAATAATGGCATCATGTAATGAACAGAACCTTGAATTCATGTCAAGCTCTAGAATATTATACTATGTATTTGCAAAAATAGTTTTAGAATAAAAATATGTAGCATATTTTTATTTCCTCATGGATGCCACAAAAGAAATCAGTTATTATTTCAATAATACGTAAAATAATACTTCTTATTTTAATTCTAGTTAAGAAATTAAGTACCATTCAGTAAAGATTGCTGCCCAACATTAAGTTTTTGGGACTAGCAACTCTATCATATTTTTGACGTCTCATTCTGACCAAGTGAAATCTAATATCCTGGTGAAGACATTTATTGCAAATAACTGGTCAAAAAGAAAATTAGCACTAAAATAACAAAGTAAACCACTTTCGATGGGAAGTGTGCCTGTAAGCTGACAATCAGCAGATAAACATACAACACAGGATTTATGACGGAAGGGTGCTCACATGGAAACAGTTGCATGTGCAAGTATGCAAATCTCTGTCAAAAAGACAATTCTAAAGCCTACCGCAAACATTATTGCTGTTTTACTATGTATCTGAAATTCTTAAGTCAAATGTCTTTGCAAAGATTTTTCCTGTGGAATTGCCTCAAGCACTCAGAGACTACGTCTTGGCACAGATAAATGTAGTCTTCCATTTTGTACAAGGTATAAGAAGATGACAGAAGCTGTTAGCACAGCTGCCACCCTTTTTTTACCCCTGGCTTTTGAGGTCCAAGCTGCATTGCTGAATAGTGTGATTATTACTACCATTTTTAATCCTAAATTAATACATGACGTTTTCTCTAGACCCTTACTGAATGTATGCTATTAGCTCAGTTACTATTAGTTATTTGTTCACTTCATACGAAGCTTCCTATATTATGTGTGGAAAGTCTGCTTTGCTCTGATGTATTAGTATTCTACCAGATCTACAGCTGCTATAATTTCTATTGATCTTACTGAAGATTGTGATTTCCTGTTAATTTTCCTATATAGAAGCCTTCTGCATTTATGTGATTATTATAAGACAAGTTTCTGCTTATCTTTCTTACCTCATATAAGAAGCAATTGGCATGCAGTCATTAAAATGACAGCATGAACTAGGGCTATGCAGATTAAAAGCACTAAGCATTGAAAGAACATTTTTCTCATTCTCTTTTTAATAAGGGCAAAACATTGCCCAAACCTGCTAGTCTTTTCCTTTACACCTACGCAGAAAGATGCCTATATTTTTAGAATTTTTACAAAACAATTTAAAACATTTGTTGTCACATCCCCCCACCTTCCCCAGCTTATTTCAAATTGTCATTCTGTTCTCTTTTCTTGTAATGGTCTCACTCTAGAAATACCATACTCAGAAAGGCAAACAGATGTCATGACAATTTTCTGTGTTAAACATACTGTAAATAAACTCCTTGTAATAACAGAGAAATAGTTTGGTCTATTTATTCTGCAGCTTCAGACGACTACTATAAAAAAGCCCCTTCAGAAATTTGATATTGTCTTAAACAACTCTCAAAGACAGAATTTGAAAACTGAATTTGAAATTAAGTTCACTTTGTAATTTAGGAGAAACTTTTGATGTAAGAAGTAGTTCTGCAACACTTGTAAATTAATCTAAAATTAGTATTTAATTTAGTAATTGAAAGCTTATCTTGTCTTTTTGCATATCCTCCCCTTATGATAAAGTATTTTTTTAAGCGCTTAAAACTTGTGCTAGATTGACAAAACCTGTGGTTTAAAGGATTTTTTCATATATAATGACATTTGCATTCTTCTAGGTTCAAATGATTTACTCAGAATTGTTTGAATGTAGTTATACGTGCAGAAAACTTTTAATTACCAGCTATCTACATGTTCGCAATATTACCCAGAGGGCTGTACTTCTTTCTTAATTAAAAATATTTGAACTTAATAATAGAGAACTCTATTAAAACATGAATAAAACATTGCAAGCTACCAGGTCCTTAAAGTGTATTAAGTAGTTAGCAAATCGATTGCAGGAAGAGTTGGTTAAGCACTTTTTTTTTCTTTACCAGTCCTCTGTAGGAGCAGATTAAAAGGGACTGCTTCTCTGTAAACTCTCCTTCTAACTTTCATATTAAACTCTCTTTTCATACATAATTCTAAAAACAATGAACAGTGTTTCAAAATGGCAACAAAACAACTACATGCCCAAAAAGCTGACAAAAAGCCTCCCGTGTGGTCTCACTATACCCAACAATATTATATATCAGCATCTCTTTTCTTGAAATTTGTGGGGACCTAGAATACTAGTTTCTTCTTGCAAAACTGCTCCAGCAGATACAAAAAAGGCTTTACATATCCACGTGGTCAGAAAAAGGCCACATTCAAACAGCTTATTATATTAATTTTAAAATTATTGGATATATTCTTAATAACAAGTAATAAAAATACATATTTGACTTCATAAATGCTAGGTGATAATATAAACAACGACTGTTTATAAGGCATCAACAAGTAACAGAATCGCTACAGACTAAAATTCCCATAGCACAATGACAGCAGATCCCCCTGACTGGAATGGTGACCGTGGTATCCTGTAGCAGATGAGACAAGCTACAAGGACAGAAAATACAATGATGGAAGATGACAATTTTCTTCATGCAAATGAGGTATATGTCACGTTGCAAGACATTACTGTACGTAAATTTTTCCAAAGAATACATAACTGCTTCATAGATGCACAAAAAAAGAGAAGAATCTATTCTTTTGGTCCTCAGCAGTGTGCAATACTTGGTTCAAGATATCACTATCCAAAGACCACTCTTACATTAATGATCACGCAGTAGCTAGATTCAACATCCTTGGGTAAAAATGACAAAAAAAATAATTCATGAAACAGCAGTCCTGCAACTAAATAGAATAAAACTCTTTGACCAGTAGAAGACACAACTGTGGGGGAGTACAATATACAGCCATCAAACAGCAGGTTGCAGAGGTAAGAATAATAATTAAAAAAAGATTATCCATTTTTTCTTATAATCAACACAAGAATGATAAAGCACCAGGAATGAGACAGTGCATTCAAAACAAACGAAAGCAGATAAATAGCAGTTAAACTCTGAAATTCCCTACCACAAGGCAAAGACTGCTTGAGGAAGCGTGCAGGGCATGCCGGCAAGGTATTGCTGGACGCTTGCTCTGTCCTTGCACTGTTTTTTTTCCCTGAGCCACCTACAACTGACCGTTGCTGGACAGAAGATGCTGCCTATGTAAGCCTTTGGTCTCCTAGGGTATTAGCTGATGTCTGAAAGAAAGATCTCTGAAGCCTGAGGAAGAAGCTTGGCCTGTTCTACTTTCTGATGCTCAGGAATAAATCTAATTACTCATAACACATTTCGAGAAGATGTCACATGTTAGAAGATACGGATCTGCAGTAAGTCTAAGCCCAAAAGTATTCTATCCAAAAACATGGAATAGTAACATACTGTCTCACTTGTGAGTTGCAGAATACAATTAATTCTTAAGCTCCAGTTCCTCATTCAAAGCACAATTCAAAGCACATCATTAAAAGCTGAAAAACCAAAAGTATTTAAGAACATAATTAGCTTCAGACAAACTTGTTCAAGTTACTGCGTGTTTGCATAAGGAGAACTGAGGAAGAAAAAACTGGGAATAAAACAACACTTTGGAGAATGTAACAATTCCTTTAGTAGCCTGGCAATTTGGCCTGTGACATAGCCTTACTGCTGGCCCTCAATTGCATAATTTAGTATTTTTCAGGGCTGTTGCAGAGAGGCTAGCCATGAAGTACCTAGATTAATGCACTTTCTATGGGCACTCATTAATATATCAATTCAGAGTCTGTCAATTTACCTTTTTAATCTTTTAGCCCCAAACTACTAACTCACATATTTCCAAAAGTGAGCTGCTCAATCACACCTCTTATCTACAAATCCCTCTGATTGCTATTTTATTTGGAGTTCTATTTTGTGTGCCACAAAAACCTAGGAAATCAACTTTCAACAGACTGAGCTCAGTAAATACTGTTACGATGAAACCAGAATATATCTGGATGAAAGATGTATTATTTCTCCCTTTGTGCAAATGGGTATATCTAATATAGCTTCTCTATACATTCTCTATCAATTTCAAAGTAAAAATCATCTACATAACTCTGGATTGTCAAACAGGAATCTTCCTTTGAGATTTTCTTGAGAGACTTTTTACTTACTGATCTTTTTAATTGACTAGGAACTCCTTCATATCTTTCAGCTTTTTCAGATCCATTTGGAATTACTTTAAAGAACTCAGATTTACTTCCAGTTGGAGAAAGAGAAAGGGTAGGCTTTAAGCTTCTCTGAGAGCTATCAGAATTGGTTTTTCTCACAGTGGAACTCTGTGGTTTTGATAAGATGGTCTCCTCAAGGTTATGTTTGCTGTGTCCCTTATTCTTCCAGTGTTCATTTCTCCATGACATCCTCTTTAATGGGGTCTCTTTAAAAACTGCTGAATCAGATGTTCCTTGCCTGCTGCAGCTGATCTCAAGGTTCTCAGTACTCTGGATGAATTCATAGTTGTCATCCTAAATTTAGGAAACAAAGTAAAAGCAATTCCCTCTCATCACACAATACAGTTTTACATGCCCTTAGAATTTCAAAATGTCTCTTTAATCTCTTCTGCCTCATTCTAAACTTGCAAGGATTCTGAAAACTAGCGGCTCTTCCTGGCAACTACACTGAGCGTACCATAAACAAATTCTTACATCTCAAGTAGTGAAAAGTAGAAAGAACAGGAGAGGGAGACAAGATTATACTTTACAAAATGTGGCCCCAAATTTAGAATGCTGGTAACCTCCCATGTGTGTTACATGATAATCATCATTTCAATAACATTTATTACAACTGTAAACCAAAAGTAAGCAAAAGTGCACAACATTGATGTCTTTCCATTGATTAATATTTCATATTTTCACATCCCATCTTCAGCTTAAACATAGAAGACAACTCTTGCTGAGATCACTTTGCTCAAGTCTGGTAATGTCATTGAATATTGTATTCAGTACCATTTGAATATCATTTAAAACTTTTGGAGGTTAGTTTGTTAACCTTATATTCATGCTTCTAGCAACATCTCTGCAAAACATCCCATGAATCAAGTGTATGATGTTCACTCATACCCCCCCATCTCAACAACAAACAGCAAGTCCGAACACGTGGAAAGAAAAGTAACAGGGAAGCACATCTAGTGTTTGCCTCAATGTTCTTATTCTCAAGGAAGAAAGGATGAGAGAGTCCTCATCTTCACCTCATCATGCTGGTCCTCTGCCTTACGCTGCCACACTGGATGTAAGGCAGTATATATTACAAGATTCAGTAAGACACTGAGATATCATCTTCAGTGTGCCTCGTCATAGCCAAGGTGCAGTCCCACCGCAAATGAAAGTGATCCAAGTTTGCTACTGACTTCAGTGAGTCCAGGACTGGATTACACAGAATGAAATGCACATTCAAGAAAATAATCCCTCAATTTTATTGACAATACACTTTTGGGAAGTTCATAGTTTTATTCCCTCACTTAGTAATTTCCTTGAAACACAAATCTGTATTTCCCTCTTTTTCATGTATTTTTACTTGCCATAAGTTATCTTAATATCTGTGCTGGAAACCTGTATTAAGTTAGGGTAACTTAACATGGAAAATTACTAAAGAAAACATGTATTTTTTTCCCCACACATTAGAGACAAATGGATAACTCAGATTTCTCAGAAGCTTAAATCCCTCCCACCTTTCCATGTCTCTTCAGCCATGCATATTTAGGTTCATTTGTTAAATGCTAAATGGTGCCAGAAACATCAATCAAGTTTGCTTGATTAACTATAGTGCAGCACATGTAAACTGAAGAGATGAATGATTTTCCTGAGAAATAAGCACTTCCACTGGTGTATTGTATTCCTTGAAAGAACATGGAGATGGGCAGTTCTGGATACATAAAACTGATTGTTCTTCCTGGGTTGTAATTTGAAGAAGTCGTTCTAAGGACTCTAGAGGGACACCTACTAGGAGCAGATGGGATATAATCCCTTAGTACGCTGGGCCTTAATATTGAGGTATCAGAGTGAAATTATCTATCAGCCTTTGTAAGGGTACATTATCTTATTTAATCTTATTCCTTTATCCTTTGAATTGTATAAGGACAGAAAAAAAATTATCAATTTCTTCACTGAAGTCTTCATCAAAGAACGTGACTGTTAAACCAGCAGTTTTGATAGCATTATGTGACATGTGGTCACACCTGCCACAGTCACACAAGCCTTGCAATCGGCAAGAGTTCTTGGTTTTGCTCTGAGTTCGACAGAAACCGTAAATGCTGCCATGATAAGTTTAATTATACAAAGTCTCTGACAGAAATTTGAGCAGAAAGCATGGACATTCATATAATTATAAAGTAAGTCACTTGATGGTGAATAGTTCCAAGAGAAGAAGCAATTTTTATCCTTCACTGATTATTTGACTCTGATAATTGAATAACAGCACTGAACTATTTCAGTGACTAATTAGTAACCACTAAAGGGAATTAATAAATACTTGCTGTTTTCAGTTTGCAGGCTGAAACATTTCCGCCCCCAAAGCCTAAAGTTACATAAATCATACAATTCTAGCGGCGTTACTGTGCATACCTTATGGCTCTCTGTATATGCAACATAAAGAAAGTCAATGTTCACTTACCTGAAATTTATCCTGATGCATAACCTATCTATTTCACAAGTAAGTAAATATTTTTTGGACATAATACAGATTTTTCCACAGATTCAATAAAAAAGTACATAATTCTCCTTTGCAGCTCTACTAACTTCAAATATAGACTAGGGTGTAACTGGGATTTAGCCCCTCTAACTGTATTTTTTTTTTAACTCATGATGCAGCGACATAAACCCAGGGAAAACTTTTGGACTTTTTACCAGTCCAAGATATTTAAACGACAAAGATATGCAAAATCTTCCCCTTTTTTTTTAAATTAAAACTAAGTTTTACTCATATTTTCCAGAAGAAAGGCAACTTATGCTCACATGCAATTACTTAAATTGTAGGTTGAGACATCTGTCTTATTTGATACAGTTCAAGAGTGTGTATGTATCCATGTGTGTTATACAGAAACACAATGTATTTGAATTTCAAAGAAAGGTGTAACACAACGATCATAAGAAACAATAATAGTGTGAAAACCTCTAACAACGTAGCTTATTTCAGCAGGTTAAGAAAAACATCTATTTTTTAAAAGGATTGCAAGATTCAGCATCACTTAGTCAAGTATTTCGTCATGTAAGTGAAGAAAACTGGGAATCATGTTATGGTTGGGCTAAAGAATTTTGGTAATTTTGCAAAGATAACTTAAACCGTGCTAAAACAGATACTACTAGGTTAGCAGTTTCATGTTCAGCTACCACAACTTTTCCAGGATCCTCTTTCCTATATTTTCAGTGCTTGAAAAAAACCCAGGTTTTCTAGTTTACTACAATAATGCAAAGTAGAGCAATCTGATTATTAAATGGGTATCCAGACTATCAGTATAAAGCTGACTTCAAGAAGCAACACAGAATGTATCTGTACAAGGAAGAGGATGAATATGGGCGAAATATGACTGCTAAGTAATTTGTTGGTTCAGTGACTTCTTTCACATGAAAGAAAGGCTTAACTATGAATTACTAATGTAGTAGCTGGAGTGAGAAAAAAACCTCTTTGATAATTTGTTAGCATGCTGTAGATTTGTTTAATGTAATTATCTTCTAGCTTTCTAAGTCTAATGCATCTCCAGCTGCAGTACCGATACAATTTAATACAGTTTGCATCCAAAGATAATGAATGAAACAGGCTGTTCCCTAGCACACCTCTGGCACATAGTTATAGAGAAGTTTTTAGTTTATATATGTTAAATTTTTTAAAGTATAGGGTTCCTCTATCAGCCCTCTAGAATGGCCATTATGGTTGTGCCCCAATGTTCTTGTGCTGTAAAAGCAGGAGTACTTGGCCACTGCTTTCTCTTTGTGCGCTTGGCACTGGATCTCTGGGGTAGGACAATGGCACAGAAGGTTAGCTATCTTCTTCAATGAAGCACCAGCAAAATTTAATGAACTGATTGATAGTTTAATGATCGTCATGCCACATACACTGTGTTTTGAAAGACACTTTATTTTCACTCACTTACCATAGCATGGCCTTACCTCTTTAGTACCTCTTCAGAAATTTTTGTTTGCCATTTTTACACTGCATTGGAGACATATTTACAAAGGACTTTAATACCCCCACCCAAACAATCAAATTGGAAACTATTGAAGCTGAGTAAATGACAGTGCTGGAAAGCTTCCTTAATTCTTATGTTATGGAAATACCTTCTTAATCTAGCTTCTACAGTAACCTCTCTGGATTTTCATGAGCCTAACAGACAAAGAAATTCTTTGAAATCCAGAGTTCCATATCTCCAGAATGGTATCCCATATAGTACTGCTCACAAACTATTAGCTTGACTAAAACTGATTTAATTCTGAAATTGTGGAACTTTGTTTGACATAACACTGCCCCAGATAAAGGGAAAACACCCACAACTACAGGAAAAAAAATCTGAGAAAAATTTTATTTCTTATAATTTGCATCAGCATTTGGTTTCCGAGAAATGCAGAATACAGAGCAGTTAAGTTCAGTTCATCTTGCTGTTATGTAACTTGGTTGAGTTTTATTTCTCAGCTATGAGCAACAGATTAGAATGCTAAGAAAATAATTTCATAATTATAAATGAAATCACTAGAACATTCATAAAGGTAGAAACTTTTAGCAGTTACTGTAATGACACAATGCAACTATTCAGTGCATTGACAATTTGGTGAATTTCTACATAGTATCAGCTGATACATTTGTTAAAAATATGTTTCTTTTCTTTCATTGATTTTATGAAAGATTTCCACATTGCAGAAGCTGGTGATGCTGACACAGCTCAGACAGGATATAAAGCAGAAATACCCATCATCAAGTGACATTAAAAAGCTGAAATTTCTTAATTCACTTTTGATAATCTTGGTGAGCAAAACATTCCCTGCTTACAGTTTTAAAAGGTGCAATGAAGCCTTATTTACTGCACTCTTGCCCAACCATAATGGACTTACTCAAATCTATGATGCAGGCTTTCCAAAAATCATTTTTATTGTAATGATGCATTATACTCACATCTGTTAGCATAGGGGCTGACAGAGACTTAGGTTTCCTTTATCCACTTGTTACAGAGCGTATACCTGCACTTTTACTCCTGTATCCAGTTAGACACAGCAACCTGACAAAGACAAATCTACCCATAGGTACACGGGGAAAAGATGATTTATCTTCTCTGGCTTGAAGACAGAATCTCATCCTAGGAGTTTTAGGATGAAGGCTACTTTATCAAGAATTACACGTACAAAGTGTCCTACCTCTTCACTGCTGTCAGTTCCTTTAAAGTTATCTTCAATTTGGGTTTTCCCATGTACTCCGTTACTGTCTTGCTTCAAATCCAAAGGCAAAATGCAACATTCTGCTGACATATTTAGAGACTTCCCATGAGGAGCTGATTGAGGTCTTGATGAAAATGTGAAAATATCTTTATTGTTCACTTGGTGATCACCTGTTTCACTACTGTGATGTTCAACAGTGGCATTCTGTGGTGAGGTTAAATTATGGCAGGCTGAATCTTCAGTAGGTACGAACTGCTCACTCCTATCCAACTGAATACTCTCAGTGAAACTTTCTGGAAACACCCATTCATCTGAAATGTACAAGGTTTATTTTAATGCCAAATATGTAAATTGCATGTTACCCTGATCACTCTTGTTTTCTCTGGAAGTCGTACAGCAAAAGAAGTTTTTCTAATACAGAAACATTTTGCTTATCAGATTTATACACTTGGAAGAGTGACAAGGATGCGACAAAAAAGATCAGGCTGCTTTTTAAGTGAGGGGAGGTTAATCAAAGTATTTCCGGATCACAGCTCAAAAAATCTGCAGGCTGTGATATATGACATTCAAGCCTGCAATTTACAAATCTGAAACTATTTAGCTGCTAAGATTTGAAACTGTTCAACGGAATTTCATTCTAGGAAAACAATTTTATTAAATTTAGCTGTTAATCTTTTTCTATAGGCATTTTTTTTGTGGCTGACATTTTAAAAAAATAATCACACATAGTTGGTGGAAAGTTCATAATATTACAATCTGCTGCTGCTTTATTGCTGAAATTCTACGCTTTCTTTTATGTCCAGAACTTATGGTTTAAAACTCAATTTCAAACTCCAGCTCTGATGAAAAATAGCGTGACATGAAAAATGTATGAAGATATCTATTTCACCAAGTTTCCCTGAATACAGGCAGTACTAATCTGCCAATTTTAACAGTTTTATTTCAAACAAACAATAAATTACAGAAATGGATTGAAAGATTGAATGCACCAAATAAACATGAAAAGGCCATTTTTATACTCTTATTGTTAACTTATATTTTACTGTTTGGAATGATGGTATAGAAAAAAAACGTCAATTTGATTGATTAAAACCAATCTCAAATAGCATCTGAGAAAGGAGAGTTGCTCAAGTATGCAATACTCCCTTATCTTCATTAAAGGTAGTGTGGTGTGGATTATTCACTAGGTCTTGAAACTTTTTGGCTCCATAAAACAAAGTTACCACCAACTGTATTAGAAAAGCCTCAATAAAAAAAATACTAAAAACCTAACAATAAAGTAGCACTGCAATAATAAAATGCTTGCTGTCACAGAAGTCAGTAAATTTACTATGGTCTTCTATTATTTTTAGTTTTGTTAGAAATAATTATCACTTCAGGAAGATTTGGCAGCCTTGGAGGGAAAAAAACCCCAAACAACTGAACCACCACAAATGAAGGCAAAGGAAAGAAGAATGAGACATCAGGAGAAACAGCTGTCATCTTCCTGGGTTGCTGTGATTCTTCCAAGTTTACTGAAGATAGCTAGCAAAGCTACCAAACTCCAGTTAACACCCTAAACTAGTTTGTAAGAGGAACCAGTGAGAAGTAGGGACTTAACACATCTTGTCAAGTCATGGCTTGCACCTACTTGTTCCAGAAGAGAATATGTGAAGACCACCTATAATCAGAAGCCTCAAGGCTTTTCAAGTAAACTCTTTTTATATTACATAATCATGCTGGTTTAAAACAATCTAGTAGATCATTGTCTATTGTACATAATATATAGAAATCTCATCTTGCTTTTAATTAAAGACTTGAAAGATGAACATTAGTTATGCCATTTATTTTACAAATATTTTGGACTAGTTTTTTCAAGAGCCTCAAGAAATGCGTGGAACTATTCAAAACTTCTAAGAACCACCCTTCATTTGTGTAAGCCCAATGACCTTTCATTCTGTTCAATAACTACAAGTTTTTCAAAGGAGGATACTAGGGCAGAATTCTCCTGTCTGATCGCTCAAGATTGTGTCACGCTCCTCTGATAACATATTTTTCTCAGCCAGGCAATTGGAATTACCTGTGAAAGGTTGTACGTGAATAAAACAACAGAAATCATAAGAGAAAACACAGTATTAATCATGAACCCATATTTCGCAGTTTTTATGCTTCCACTGTATTTTAGTATCTACACAAAGTTGCATTTTAAAGTAATCATTTCCCCTACAAAAATGAAACAAAAGAGAGATCTCATTAACTTTTCACATGAAACTGAACACAGTATTAAGATGCTTGAGAACAAAGACTCAGGTGGTTTTCTTCCCAACTCATTTTGTGATGTAACACCATTAAAAAACTGTTGCACTAAATCCGTATTTTAAAGTACTTAACTTTTGGTCCAACAGGAATTTGGCCACCATTCCTGAAATTGTTTTGAATGGCTTTGGCCCTGGAAATGCTGCCACATCTGCAACTTCAGAAACTGCTACGCAGAAATACCACAAAAATGTGACTTACCCCTAACTTCAATTGGCTGGAGAACTTACGTATGTAAAGAAATCTTTTCCCCAGCTATTCTGGACGTTAAGTCTTAAATGCTGTTAAGCCTTTTTTCCTAAGGCAATGATATTACAATTTTTGACTTGCTGCATTTTTCAAACCAAAAAATATCTTCAAAACTTACCTAGCTAAGAAAATTTTTGGATTTTTTGCAGTTTTTCCTATCTCAGCACTCTGCAATCTTGTGACATGTCCAGCACCCACCCTTCCACAGCTTAATCTATACACGTTTCATAGGTTTCAATGGCAGTGGCTTTACTAAGACCAAGATGTATAACATATACTTGTTTAGTATTCAGAAGGCCTTTTCCCTTGTCATGAAATTAGATTTGACATGTATCATGCTGTCGTTGCAGTTTTCAAACATGCACTAATAGCTCAGACCACTGTAATGAGCCCTCTGTGGTATGGTCATACTTTTAGTGTACAACCCCCTTCATGAGAATCTGTTAATTTTTATGCACAAAGGACTGTGAATGAGCAGAGAGGAGTGGCTCAATTTTTATTATGCCCTACTGACTTGACGACAACCAGCTTCCCTAACTGCAGTCTAACCTGTCCTATTCTCATTCCAGAATGACTTCTAACGCAGTTGTTGCTGTTTAATTTGCAGAGGTCATTACAGATAAAATTTTATAATGAATTCTGAAGCAAAATGGTGTTAAACCACTTAGGTTCTGAGATGAAGTCAATTTTGAATGAAGTATCAAAATACGAAAAAAGTCTTAAATAACAATTTTTGTCAAGTGTTTAGAGAAGAGGAGGCAATTAGAAGCTTAAAACTCCCGATTCCTACTTCTGGCTCTGCCACAAACGTCCAAAAACTTCTTAGACATCATTTTACTCACCATTATAAAGTAATGTCTTTACCCAGATCAAAAGTACTTCAGAAATATAAAAAAACTAATTTAAAATATTTAGTGTCTGTACAATATTTAGCCTGAATACTCTGCTTTTTTAGCCTAACCTTCTCTGTAAAGTACAACATTCATCTCCACAGATGTTGAAGAAATATACTTGGGTTAGTACTAAGTTAAATGCAAATATCAGTTTGCATACCAAGGTATTTATTCTTTATGAAATATGCAGGGGGAAACCAGCAAAATCTGTAAGGCTTTAAGATGACATTTTCTGCTGGCTATGGAGTTCAGCAACTTCAGTAACCTGTAGTCAGTGTAGCATTTTGTTCAGAGACTACAAGTGAAAGATAGGCGGTGTTTTGGACCAAACCAAATCCTGCTATCTCCCCACCACAAACTATACTGGAATTTCTTTTTAACTCCACATTTCCATGTCAATTTGGAGTATCTTCTCAGCAAAATATGCAAATCACTATGTAATCACAACATTGCAGCAAACAAGAGAAATGCAAGAACGATCACCTGAACATCTAATTAGTTCTTCTACACAGTCAGACTTATGCTAAAGCTTCTAATTGCAGCCTAACATTTTAATGAAGGTTTCAGCATTGCACAAATAAGATTGGCAAACTATAAACAATGCTCACTCATTTTATTTTTCTCTTGCTTAAAACCAATTTACCTTGGTAAAGGTACTGCATACCTGCTACAGAAGACATGCTAATTTGAGGTGCATAATAAACCTAAAAGATACTGTTATAAACAGCAGTAAGTAACCTCTAAGGCAATAAGAACAATCACTTACGAAAGGTCTGCTCCCTCCATGAAATTTAAATTAATACTTACTCAAGCTAATGGCAGAACAAATGTTGTACTGCCCCAAGATCACCACAGGATGTGGTCGCCTAGGGCTCAAGAGACTAAATGCCTGGTGATAAAAAAAAGAATAGTGTATTGATAAAACTATTTTGACCACAGTATAAATGACCATGTAAGCTTCCACTTGCTTGGGGAATGTGGTTTTGTGCCAATGACCTGGCATGGTGTATGCACACCAATATTTTGTCAGAAGTGTCAGGACTACGCTTTTGGCTGGGTCATCACCACTGAACCAAGCTTGTGGTTGTTCACTATGGGGCAAGATCAGTTGCTGGGAGCTTCCTGACTAGAACGTTGATCTTGAGGTTTATGGGGTTACAATCCTGACAGTGTGCATGAACTGCAGCTACAACGTAAGTTATCACAGAAATCATAATTTCTTTGCTTTTATTAGAGAAGTATTTGTTTTTAAAATGTGAATGCAAATGTGAAACAGTTTGGGAACAAATGGGCAGAAGTGTTTTTGTTCTCCCATCTGATAATGTCAGTGTACACTTCTTTTGTAAATGATTTGTATAGTATTTTATGCAGATGTGTTTGTTGAATGGTGTATGGTTTTTTTTTAAATTATCTTTTTAAAATGTGAATGCAAATGTGAAACAGTCTGGGAACAAATGGGTAGAAGTGTTTTTGTTCTCCCATCTGACAATGTCAGTGTACACTTCAGATGTGTTTGTTGAATGGTGTATGTTTTTTTTTTTAAATTATTAGGTTCCTCATTTTTTGCTAGATGTTTCTGCTTTTGAATTTCCCCCTTCTCTGTGAACCCTTCCTCAAAGAATGCCTATCAAGTCTATCCACTTTGGAAGAAGTTCAGAACAAAGCATAGAAGAGGAATTTCCTTGACAAAGAGGTTGCCTATAGGGAGCTCTTCAACACAGATGAATCCAGTACTACAGGATAAAGGAACCATTAAGTCATCTACATACAGTTAGGCATCTTCATGTATTGAAAAGAAATTGAAATCTGCAGACTGAGCTACCAGTGCCAAGCAATTAAAACATGGAGAATAAAAAAGTTCTCACAAACTCACATCGTGCCTTTATCTTCCTGTATGCACAATTAAGACTATATAGAAACAGTTTTCATTCTCACAAACACAAACAGTAAAAAAGCAGTGTTTACACACAGGTTTCTCTGCTTCTGAAATTACAACAGGGCATTTAGACATGCCAGCCTTCTGCCCCAAGTCTCTGTCTTTTCATATCACCTATATTTACTTAAAATAACAAGTGTTCATTCATTTTTTGGAAATTCTAGCACTAGATAGAGGCCCTAGTGTTCTAGATGAAGAACAAGACAGTGATTCCTGCCTCAGAATCCCCAGAATTCAGGTAAATAGGAAGTAATTTAAATGTTCTTCAGAAGGCTCTACTTGTCTTAGCATCTTGCATCTGTTTCAGTCAAATTATGAAACCCATAATAGCAACTATGGATTCCTGATATTGTCACAGTATATAATTGCTTCTAAACACCCCAAAGGTTAAACAAAATGGAAATAACTCATAATGTGAAGGAAAATTTCTTTGGTCAATTCTGAGCAGATTTGAGTAGTCTGCCCACTTCACAAGTTCATGGCTATGCCTTTTAACAGAAAGGACCACTGCTTTTTCATAGAGACATGGGTTATTTTTGCCACAATAACGTACTTTCCAGACATGTGCAAAGCAAGTTGATTGACACTGTATGATAAAAAAAATCAACACCTTTTGGCAGATAAGTGTGAAAGGGCAAAACCCATAAGCTGAGGTGTCTTTCTGTGAATAAGAAACAAAGAAAATTCACCACTGAACTTTAAAAATAAAACCAAAAAACCCTGTAATTATACGGGTTCGACAATTAATATCCTAAACTCTTTTCTGGGACAAGCAAAATTTCTCATATATTTGACATTTGGAGTGTTTAGTGTTAAATTTAATAGGGATTTAAAGAATAAATTATTTTTAGTTCTTTCCCTTTAATCATGAGAGCATGGAGTTTTTCTTCTTTTATTCATTCACTGCTCTGGTACTCTGCTTAATCCTGCAAATCTTTATCAATGCTCAAAAGCAATTCTGTTTGATTTCCATAATCCCCCACAACACAGACATTTATATTTTATGTGAACTGTTTTTGGGTCCTTTGACATTTACAACAGATAGTCCCCCACCCCGCACATAACTGAGATGTAAAATAACATAAAATGAGCACCATACCACTGGTTATCTCCCATGTGGTTTTGGCTGCATTTTTTAGAGATAATCTTCTATGACTATTCTTCTCTGCTGATGGTCCTTGTGGTGAGGTGAGCTGAAAATCTGCTCTTCCACTCTCAGAGGTTTTCTGAGCCTGTTTTGTAGGGTCTGAAATACAACCCAGAACCTTATGGAAAAACAGCATATGGAGCATTGTCCTGGGATACAAACATCTTCCAAACAGCACAGGTATCTTGTAGGGCAACAGGAATATGACAGTCACAAGAAAGTAAAAATTTAACACTAGGTACAGAAGAAGGGCAAACCACACAAGTTATAAAAAACAGGCTTGCAAAAATCTGCAAAATAATCAAGAACCGCTGCAGTAGCCCAGTTATATACACAGCATGAGGGAAAGTGGAATATGTGTATAACCTGTGGCTACTGCCAGCAGGTGGTGATCTGTGGTTCAAACACTTACAATATGAATACCTGCAGAGAGAATGAGCAGTTATTCAAGCTCATACAGGAAAATAAGCCATGTTTTAACACAAATGTCTTCAGTAATTAACAAGGTAGATAAAGGATTAGAAAACGAGAGAATTAAGTCTTACGTTGTGAAGTCAGAATCATGCAAAAATTCTGGCAGCTTGTGAACTCTACATACTCTTTGCTTTACGCTCTTACCATTTTGACAAACATCTTCAGTTGTTCGGTGAGTGTTTCTTTTACCTTCTTGATCTAAAGAATTGCTGCAGGGTGAGAACGATAGCTCCAGCCTCTCAATATCTTGTACAAATTCAGTTCCCTTTTCTGAACTTTGAAGTTGGCATGATCTATTACTTTTGCTACCCCAGGTCCTTGTTACCTTGAAAGACATTATTTTCTTAATGAAATACAGAAACATAACAGCTTTCAAAATACTCAAAGGTAAACACACATTTTGAATTAAGCTTATTTATCAACTAAATGCTTCCAAATCTGTTTTTTTTAAATATTATCTTTTCAGGAAACTTTATGGTAGGTACAGTTCTGTGTGGTATCCTCAATCTTTATAATCCAGTGACAGGCAGGGTGTTTTTTTCCACTGAGTGAAAGGAAAACAAGGCAAAGAAAAGGAAAAAAACCCAAGAATCACTATCTGGACAAAAAGACAGTGAAACTTGTGGCTATTCTAGACCTCAGGAGGAGTCCCTTCTTTTTTGGAGAAAGGAATCTCATTTTACATCTTAGCTTTCAATTGACTTCCTACAGAAGAGTCTATTTCCTTTGGCTAGATCCTTTATTCATGGTGTTAAGCTGGGAACTGTAGTCCCGACCAGATTCCTAAAAATCTGCATATTGTTTGCTGGCAGAGTGCGACCAGCTGTTTTCCCTGGCATTGCAACTGACAGCATCACAGGAGCTACTGTATGGCTGACTATTATCCACTTAGAGCATACCGAAAGGCAGAGTCTCTGCTCTGCATCATAGCTCTCATCATAAGGAAAAATATTTACATGCACAAAAGTTTCAGCAGTCTAGAACAAAAGATTCAGAAAAATAACAATTATAAGAAATCACAGAGTAATTTCAGTAGGATGAGACCTCTATAGGCCTCATGCTGTTCCAGTCAAGTTTTGTTATCTTTAAGTTTTGGAATTCCACAGTCTCCCTGTGACCCTGTTACAGTACAGAACCACTTTACTTTATTGTTATAGCCAGTCAGAGCTTCCCTGCAATTCGGGCCTGCTGCCTCTTGAACTTTCAGCACACTTAGAAGAATCTTCTCTATAACCCTGCATTAGTTGAAAATAGCAACTAGATTCTCCCTTAGCCTTCTCGACTGCTGGCTGACAAACTCACGTCACGTGCAGTAACCACACAAGCATTTTACTTGCCCTCTGCTAGATGTTACAGCATCTCCTGCACTTGAGGTCCACAACCAAACACAATACTCCAGCCACAGCCTCACATCAGTTCAGAAAAAAACCTTTAGCCTGACTCTGCTAGTCAATCTCTTCCTTTGTAGAAGTGCCAGCAGTTTTGTTGTAATTTAAGCCTTTTTACCTCTCCAGATATCCTTGTACTGACTCTTCTGTTTGAAGACGGAGGTGGCCCAAGGATCTTTGATCCAAATGCAATATGTGACACATCCTGAGTTTTACTGCTGCGTATATTGCCTTGTCCTCTATTATCCAAGCTACCTAAGTTAAGAAAAATAATAGTTTTTAAAGTTTTATAAAAGTGCATCAACATACAGGCAAGAAACTTTTGGTCTATTATACAGATTTATTTCTAATCTCCTTGCTTTAAAGATTGATTTTAAAAGGAGCTATTTATAAACAAAAAAAAATTTGGTTTGCATGATTTCTTTAGAACTTCAATGAAAACCTAACTTCTTACAGGAAGAAAAAACAACTCTAATAAGTAAGAGAATAAATAAATAGTAACACAAGAAAACTGAGGTGAGACTGTCAAGGCATCACTCACAGCTCAGGAGAACTATTTCTGTGAAGCATGTTTTTTGAAATTACTGAATCTACTATATTACCAGGGTGAAGTCCTAATATTGCAAACATAGTCTATACCTGTTAAAATGTTCTTCCCCCTTCATTATTTATTTTTTTACTGTTTAAAATGTAGATACATTTTTATAGTTCATTTCAAGCACAGAAAATGCCAACCAGTCTGCAAGACAAATAAAAAGTAAAGAGGGAATGCAGCTGAATGTTCTGAAAAAAATTTAAAAGGGAAGGACAGTAAAATGGTGGCGTATTAATTTTATCACCAGGGTTGCAGAACTGCATGTAATATTAATTTTCCTCTTTTTTAATTCTCCAAGACTGTCAGCGAATTCTCCTTTCCAGAGCTGATAAAAAAGCGTATCTTCACACTAATTTATAGTTAAAATTTACAATGTCTGAAGATTTTTTCTTGTTATGCACTGTTAAATCGCTATCTCACATTAGAGATCTGACATCTTTATAAAGCAGTAAAGTAGAAACAAAACATTTTGTTGATTCTTCTAAACATTTTTCATAGAATTATTTAATCTTATTTCAAGATCAGCTTTGTTTCAGTGTCATCAAGGACATGAAAAAAGATCATGCATTAGCCATCAAATACCATTATTTACTGTAGTAATAAGCACTTTCTGCCATTAACTTCTTCCCTTTTTCCTGATGTGACATTTGGTTGCTGTTAACAGCTGCCATTTCACAAGATTAGATGACCTGTCTTGGTTTAACATCAATTTTATTTAATTTCCTTATTACCTTGGGATGTTGTTAGCTCCAATTATAAAAGCTGATTTGCATGAAAATCTCTCTTTCTGAACACATTAATTGACTGCAATTAATTACCTACAGCTACACATAACAGTGTGTTGATGGCATAATGAAATAATATGTGTAATTAAAAGTGGATAGTACTAAAAATAATTTGGGATTTTGATTATCAAATAAACAAAAAGTTTATTGGATAAAAACAACATTTTCCAATTAAAATGTATTTAAACATACCAAAGCTTCCATTTTCAAGAAGGCCAACTTCTGAAATTTGAAAAGCATGTCTGGAAGAACACATGCTACACTCATAAAACGGGATTAAAAATAAAGACTAAACCTTAAACTGAAGGCATTTCATTTTCATGCAGGTCAGGAATGTTATCATTCATTATTTTACTATATATACCTAAGGGCACTATATATCTTTGTAGTCTGGATGGTAAAACCTGAGTCCTGTTTTAAACGAACATTCATTTTTCTGTTTAGATGTATCATTCACACTTTTGTACTCATTTAAGTTTTACAGTCCCTCATATTTTGACAATCCAGCCAGGAAGTATTAATTTTTGAATACAGTCACTGAGAAACTGAATTCCAGTCCGCTATTTCAAAAGCAAACTTATAACCAAACTTCACAACAGAACTTTGGCTTGACTACTTGTAGGGCGATAATACTCTAAAAATATTATTTGTCCTTTAATATTACAAAAACGGTATTTGCATGTAAAAAAAGCTGAATGTAATTTAGATAACCAAATGTTTGAAGGGTCTTACTCTAAGCAAAAATTTTAAACCCCTCCTATTCATTTCAGCTGCTGTAAGACAAAGACTTCCTTTACTAATGAGGTACACCAAGAGAGAGCAAAAGTTAACAACTTGAAAAAGCATCAGCATGGTAGCTTAGTGCGAATGATAAAATCTTTACAAGGCTTTTTTTTCATATACTGGTCAAAGCAGAAAAAAAGTTGTTTAAGAAGTATTTTCTTAAACCTTTCATCTTATCAAGATTGTTCTCAAAGAAACACTTCTTTCAACGTTTATTTTTCTTTAGAGTTTCATGAGATGCTACACCTTAAATACAATTGTTGGCCGTAATAGTCTTGTCTTTTATAGCATCAAACTTCACCAGCAGTTATCATTCCCTGTAATTCACCTTATTCCTTTAGCAATACTTTGCATTTCCAGAGCATTTTAACAGAAATGGTGGAAGTGATTATTCACTGAATTCAAACACTGAAGATGAAAATCCTCAAGACAGAAAGTACTAAAAACAGTGGAATAAAAAACATATCTTCCTTACCTACAGCACCACTTCTAACATTGCCTACACTGATGAAGATGTATTAGAAATGGATTTTTTAATCTAATTTGCTTGTTCAGACCCACTTCTAAGCTACTTCAGACCTACTTCCTTCTCAAGAGATGTTCTACTACCCTGTTTTAGTATGATGAATCAATGACTCATAAAAGGTGGTACCGAGTAAGGGAATATGAAAAAACTTTAGTAAGACATTGCAGTTACTACATTGGCCAAATTAAAGGCTTAGTCTTGTGTCTGGTACAGAAGGCAATAATAACCTAACAAAAGAGTAAAGAGGGTGCCTATAGCGAGATGTCACCTATGTATTTTTCTAAGCTCTAGCAGTAAGAAGTTTAGGTACTTCTCAAGTTTAAGCTGAAAATAACAATCAAATCAACATTTTAAAATGAGCAAAATTATCAGTTTTTCATGAAGGGCAGGAATCAAAGCATACAAAATACTCTAATTTTAAAATCCATTATAACCCTCTTTTTTAAGAAGTGCTGCACACATTACAGGATATTTATTGTTGCAAACAGATCTACAGAATAACTTAAAAAAGGTACAGATTAGTTATGTGCAACTGGATTTACAAAAACAGTAATATCTGGGAGTGAGTAAACTATATTTTTACATGTTTAGAATTCTAATCAATGAAATGTACTACTAGTGAAAAACATGGGCTTTTTCCTACATTGATATATTTTCTCATTGGAAATGTAGCTGATGTCTTCAAAACTCAAGAAATGATTTTAAAAAATCTGATTTTCTTCAACCACAAAAAAACCTGTCAATAGCTGAAAATTTTATTTAATTCTTTAAATAGTTACCTTAAGACCAATACTGCTAATGAATAATTTTACAACTACAGAGTTCCATTAATGAGCACAATCTATATCTTTTATTCTATTGCTGTTATTTAATGACAGCCTATCTCATTAGAAAAATGTTTTAAAGAGATATTCATTATTTTGAATCAGAACATTAAGGACTGTAAAGACATCTGCCTTAGTGATGTTTTGCTATTGACTTTACACAGGTAGGAAGCAATATAGTTTTAAAGCAAAATAGCAGCTTTAGTAAAAAGCAGTCAATTGTCTGACCCAAGTCTATTTAAGCAATTTCACATTCAAATCCTTGAATATGCTTCTACAATTCAGTTTTTACTGATTCTTGGCTTACAAATCTTATGCAGACAGACATACCAATTTAAATACAAAATCCCAGGACGTGCTGTTCTAGAACTGGACAATAATCTAACAGCCAGTTTCAAACAATGGCCAAAACCAAATGCTTCAGAATTGGCACAAGAAAATTTCAGCATGGACTTAAGAGATAATCTGCCTTCAACACAACTTTTACAGGAAGGTTGGAAAAATTTAGAAGTACAAGATTAAATTTTCCCTTCACATTTTTACTGGTGCTAAATACATGCCATGGACATTACCCTTACCCATATAAATGGCTAACTGATTTTGGAGTCCAAATTTTTTCACTTCACCATCTTATTGTAGTAGTAGATTCCATATATTAACCATATTCTGTATAATATGATATTTTCTTTTATCAGTTTTTAATTTTCAACTGCACCTTCACAACAAATGATATCTTTGTTTTGTGCCATGACATGGGACAAGCAGCTTTTACTGAACTTCCTTTGTATCTCTAATTACTTTATAAATTCCCTTAAGGCAATTTTTAATGTTTTCAGCATATCTTCACATAAGAGCTTTTCATTCATGCTGCTTCTCTCAATCACTTGTCTATTAAATCTTTTCTGAGATGGTTTAACTGATAATGTATAAAATATTTCAGATAAAGCAAAACTGATTTATTTAAAGGTTTGATACCTTCTTCATTTCATATGAATTTGAACTTCCTGCTATCCAGTACCTTAGTTTTTTTTCAAATTGTAGCCATATATTAATCTGAGAATTCCATTGAGCTATATCTATGGTGATGATAACCTTCCTTCCTGGAGCCACTTAATATTGACACTTTAAAGCTTAACTGTAGTTAACATTTCTCCCCAGTGTACAATCCTTTGCATTTATCAAAGCTAGATTTTACACAGTATCATGTCACACACATGACATGGTCATGTACAGTGGTCCCTAGCTCATGATTTTTCAACACAGTGGCCAGAAGAAATAAAACCAGCAAACAAACCTTGTTTAGCAAAATAGGTGTCCTGCATGTTCCCTGCTCTCTAGTGTTTTTCATGAAAACGTACATAGGGGATTGCCCATTTTACAACTCTAAACTCTCTGAAGTCCCATTCTTTACTAAGCTAGTATCTGTATCATATGAAAATTTGCTCCCACATTATTCACTTCTCTTTTGAGATTATTCATAACTGTAATAAACAATACTGAGCCTAGAACAAAAAACTGTTGAGGCCTCCTGCTGTTAGCCTTCAGCTGTGACAGAAATTTCATCCTCCATTTGCTTTCTGTCTCTTAGTTTTTATCCGAGTCAATAGTTTGTATCTTGGCACAGGACTGCCTAGCTTCTTTAATAAAACTCTTCTATGCAATGCTGTCAAAGTCTAAATTACATGTTTTGTTATCTTCTAGCTTACAGAAATACTCAAATAACTCCAAGACACCAATAAGACAAGACTCCCTTTTTCAGATTATAAGCTGAGGATACTATGTGTGGTCGTACTGTTAGAAGAGTTTCATTAATGCAAACATACTTTAAAAAGAAGTGTAACAACTGAACAGTCACACTTCAAAGCACGTTAAGATGACATACCACAAATGTTGTTACTAGAAATCCCACACTTGAATTAGAATTGTTCATGCTGCAAACAAATCTCTGAAACTATAGAACAGGTATGTGTCTATGTGCTCTCAATATTACAGCTATGCAAGAGTTGTCATGTTTTGTTTTAAGACACTGGAACTCTTAACATGTACTTTCACAAAGAAATCCATTATTTGTTCACATTACATATAGATCGTATTCACAGTATTTTAATACAACAGAATACCTGTTTCTTGCACTGTTACTGGATATCTCCTGCATTTTATTTCTGGTTTGTGAATTTTAGTCAGGTTCAGCAATTGTGTAACTTGTGGCACATCTGAATTTAGCTGGCAGGATCGAGGAATAACATCTGTGGGCTCACAGGGCATACACGGAACAACACACATATCTAGAATCCAAAAACATGGGCTTTACTTCACTCAGATGACACAATGGACTTAAATTCGATTTACAGTATTTGTTAGATTACATATACTTTAGTTCATATGGTTATAACAGTTTCATAGTTACAGTCATTTGCAATATTTGCTGCAATTATTCACTTTTAAGACAGTAAGAATGTAAATTTTAAAATAATTATATTGTGTATTTCTTTAGGCCAAAAATTTTGAATACATTTAAACTAAGAAATATGCACCAATGCCTGGAATAGCCATAGTAAATCAGCTTCTTTGATTTGGCAAGTGAACAAGAAAAACAGAATCACAAAACACATTTTGTTAATTTTTATTACAACTCAGCTTTAATTCTAATCTGATATACCGATTTTCAGACAAAATGAACATCTGAAAATGGTATTGCTATCAGTGGGACTGAAGTAGCAAATAAAGACCCGCATATGCAAATAACGAATTTGACAAGCTTTAATGCCAAACTTTGGACACCATTGCACTTCCATGATAAACTAAAAAGCTGCCAACCTATCCTTCTGACACCAGGCTCTAGTAGAATGTGACCTGATTGTCTCTGCTTTCCCTTTGATAACCAACATAGACTGAGTTTATGAAAGTTATTCTCCTTGAAGAAAGGTAGCCAGTCATAACCATTCCTGACGTTCTGACATGAATTCATTCCAAATTTTATAAGACTTAAATATAGAAAGCTAGTGAGTATTAGCCTCTTTTCCAAAGATAAGAAGAGGAAAACCCAAATAATGGATCAAGTATTTGGACCCTAATAGAAAAATTCAAGTGTTCCATGTTATACTTCAGTAGAGAATATATTTTTTCAACCATTTTTTCACCAAGCTAGTACATTATTTACTGCTGTAAGACAATTCTTAGTGATAAAAACCCCCATACGTAACCTCAGGATTACTATGGAAACCAGAAACTAGGTATATATCAAGCTCATATGCCTCAATATCATGGGGCAGAGAAGATTAATTCTTTCCTCTTCTATCTCAATGATCTCATACAGAACTAATTTCTTAGGATATGTGGCTTCTCCTTTCCACTTGCTACCATTTTAAGAATGCAAAACATACCGTGCATGAGCTACTAAGAAAGAATAACACACACATTGCACGTTGAAATTACTACTTCCACCACTAAGGAGGTTTAAGCAAAGAACTTGACCCTCATTACGGGTGGCAATGTCATTGCATTCAGTGGAGCTCAACTAACCGGTCCAATCTGAGAGGAAAAAGGCTTTATCAAATCATGATTGTTAACCGAAACTTAAATAACGACAAAAAACTACTACTGTTTTTCTGTAATTGGGTATGAAGTATGGAGTTATTTTAACACAGCCAAACCTTGGGCTGCAACATAATTTTAAGACCTGCCTAGATAAGGAAATTCATAAGCATACAGAAAATACTAATGCCCACCAGCTGTGTAATAATCATAGAATTGATAATCCAGTAATTAAAAGTGCAATATTTTACCATGCATACAGTTTATTAAAGCTGTCTACTCATTATGTTAACTACAGTTTGGAATTTTGGAACTCATTTAGAACACTTATGCACATTTCAAAACCTGTTTAAAATGGAGAGAAAACAATGCACCAATGGAATTAAATTAAGTTAAAGTCAGTGAGGCTTCTAACTGCCATTTCTGCTGAGAATTTACAACATTCTCTCTGTAATCATTTGGATTTTTTTTCCCCTCTAACCTCACCACCAAAAACAACAACAAAAAAGAAGAGTAATCACAATGATCACATACTCTTCCTTATTGGCTTAGGTTTTCCAAATGGAAGAGAGATTTCCTTATTGTCTATTTGCTATCTATTTTCTTACTATTGTGCTAACTATCCCTCCTTCAGAAACCAGAACCATTTTTTCAGATGTGTTCTTTAAAAGCCACAAAATGAAAATTTGCATGAAACTGAAGTTGAACTATACCCAGGAAAGCGTCAGCTGTGCTTTTTCAACTCCTCCACTATTACTGCAAATACTAGTGAGGAATGAAGTTCTCTCCCTTGGAAAAATAATGATTCAGGATTATGATGCTAGTTTGGAGACTGGCAAGTCTTTGACCAATTTTCTGCTCTATTACAAATATAATCTCATTTTCCAGCTCACCGTCAATATTACTTTCCCAATGAACAAGGACACATCAGGATAAATGGACTAAAGATCAGAGAGAGGTGTTTATGATAGTTTCATAGCTCTGTTTGACATTATACTGTTTTGTCACAGTTTTGCCTTGGATTATTTAAAGAAGAAATCTTTCATCAGTGGGTAATGTCCAAAATTAAGAAAATAAACATCAAATGTTGCTAAGTTTTAGAATTTATCTTTCCTTTCAGACACTCTCTTCTCAGCCAAAACTTCATTTCTATCAGCATAAGATACCCTCATTAAAACAAGCTCTCTACTTGATAAATCTTGCCAGAATTTCTTCAATAAAATATTTCTAAGGAAGTCAATGGTTAAAACAGAGGAATACACATATATTTAATTAGTTGCCTAAAGTCCAACACTAGCAGATTTAATACTCTGTACTACCACTTTAATTTTCATGAAATCATGTAATCTTTCAAATTGGCACTCTGATGACTAAGAAGCTTTTGATTTTATAATATGAACAGTTATGATTAAGACTACATAGTAACTATTACACACCGTCTTCCTCAGCTGTATCTTGAGGCTTGGATTTTAAAGTGAAGATCTTTCTCAGTTTACAGTTAGCCGAAATAATAATTCCATCCAAAGACTGGAACATAGCTCCTCTGAATATTTCACTGGTGAATGCTACCAAGTCAATACACATATTGCACCACTAGAAAAGAGAAACAATACTCTTTAATAAAACCCAAATACTAATCATTGCAGAAGAGTATTAGTGTATAGTGAATTATCAATTAGTTCTCTGTGGAGTATTATATTCTCACAGGCTGTGATTCACAATGCATAACACTGATATAAAAAAAGATATTGCTGTATTTGCACTTACAACACTTATTTATACAAACAAATCAGTACATATCACCCAGTGACTGTCAGCCCCAGTGAGTTCTGTTACCTAGCATATCCACAACATGCTTTGCAGCTAACTTGTGAGAACGTATATTTATTGAAGGTTTTCTTGGGGAAAAGAAAAATTGTTATTCAGTATTACTTCATAAATTAAAGTTACAGCAGCTTAAGTGCTCCAGAGGCTACATCTGGAGATTCTTTGACAATTTCTTTCTGAGATTCATAAAAAAAGGACCTTTCCAAAGCTTGCATCCCTTCCACACTGAAAACTGTCAGGCAAATTTCTAGACCCTAGTGTATCATAACATCTTAAAACTACTTGTTTATAATAAATGTTATCTATTACCTGTAAGACATTTCCAAAAGACAAATCAGCTAGTGTCAGCTGCCTAGGTTGCTAAAGATCCTACTTAAATACTTGTTTTAGTTCCCATTAGATGGTTATTCCATTTGTTTCAGGAAACACTGTTAGAACACTAACCATCAATGTGCCAAACTCTCCTGCACTATTCCAGCAGCTTTTTTAATTCTCTCAGTTTCAAGTTTTTTCCACTTAATTCAACACTTGTATATTGCTGGGTTTTTGTAATATGGAAACGAGCAGTTACAGGTATCTATTTTGCATGTGAACCACAGACACTACAATTCTATTGCCCTCCTAGAAAAAACACAAATTTCATATAAAACAAGTAATACCACAAACAGAAGAACTAATAAAATACGATTTCTTGAGGCTTTATGTTTTCCATCGAGAGCCTCTGATGTTTAAAAACACATAAGCTCATTGTTCTGGTGTTCCTAACAATTCTTTTCCTCATTGATTCTGATATCTAGTGAGGGATGAGCTGATGCTAACACATCTTCTATAACCAGGAAATAAACAGAGATGGCCTTGAGCAGAAATGCAACCATTTCCATGAAATTTGCAGAACTGTAATATATCTGATATGATTACTCATGTGCAAAATTTATTTGACCAATGGGCTGAAGTTTTATTTAGGGAGAATACCAAGACATAATGATTGTATACGCCTCATTTCCTTATAAAGTCAAGGTGAAACTACTAGTTTCTGAATGCCGAACAGTAAATATTTTTTGAGGAAAAATTCAGGTGCATGCATTACTATTCAGCTTCTAAGTCTGAAATTTTGGAAGGAAAGGAATACTTGTTTTGAAGACACCAAGCAATGGAATGGAAAAAGCAGTATTTAATGCTAACTGATATTTCTATTGATGAGGTTGAAAAATAGCATCATCTGTAAGACTACAATACAGGAAGCTAGCATCTGAAAAACTACATTCTACTGATGGAACAAGCAACATATTATATCCTTATTCACAGCCAATCATAATGATAATAATGATCAGCTTGTGTATACAATAAGTTAAACCAGAGCCATGCAAAAGATCTAATCAGTGAAAGCAGCATACTCCCTCCTTCAAGTAAAAGGAACAATAAAAAGGCAGATAACCATTTAAAACAAGACAGACACGTATTCAGATACAATAAGAAATACAGACCTACTCTAAGACTGGTCAAGCGTTAAGGTTATTAAAATATTTTGTCATTATAACTGATCAGAGTATTTAGACATATCTCTGATTAATGCTTTATTATCTAAATTAAAATACATAACTGAAGTTCATGCTCTGATTGAATTTAACTTGGTGTACATTAATGCATGCTTTAATCCTGAAATATTTGTGCTAGCCTGACACCAAGACGAACAAACCGAAATTATACTGGAGAAAAAGAATTCAATTTCAGTGGATCTTGAATTAACAGCAACTTCAGGGGTATGATCTGATGCATATTCATTTGAAAAAAATCCAACCACTTCTTCCCACAAAGCAGAAAACTCCTGAAATCTAAAATTATCACAGCTGCCTTCACCTAAATTATCTTAAAAGAAGTCATAGCTTGAGGTTTTTGTATAATAATCTCATACGACCAGCCTTAAATCCACAGCTGCTCAGCATGCTAAGTGTTATCTACTTCTCTTGGTGCATCCTTGTATTTTAAAATACTTGAAATGTAACTATTCTCATCTCCAAATGATTTTCTAAATAGCATTTGAGACTTGAGTCTTTACAAGGTTATACAGTAACCATCTGGTTTTGTACTATTACAGCTATTACCATACGTTGTGGCTGGGTGTGGGAGAGGGGAACAGGGAGACAATGATGGCTATTGTTCTATTTTCATCGGTTTGACATGTACGCAGTTTTATCTATGCCAGAATCTGGAAGAACCTGAAACATGTGGAAGTACCCATCAGCCACAGTCTATTTAGAGCTCCAGTGAATGTAATAGAAGGTCACTACGGGAGAAAATACACATGAACAGGAGCACTGTCTCTGTAGGGACACAGAGAGCTGTACAGAGGCTGAATAGACAGCAGAAGTGACACGTCACAAACAGCATTAATCTTGGAAAATGGGAATGAACTCCTAAAGTTAGAAGAAGGGTATTAAGTGGTTCTGATACCATCCAATAAAGGGGACATACACACGTATCTTGAACCAGCAGGAACTGAATTCTAAACAAACAGTAATTTCAGCAGGTCTATAAACTTACATAAAACATTTCTGATAAAAAAGCATGCTCAACCACAGTTCAAGGAATATTCCCAAGGTACCTACTATTTTGCGCTTGATCATAAACAGAGGAATTTTTGCATGCAGAGGGGTTACAGACAACTCCCTGTGGACTGTTGATAAATACAATCTTCTTCTAATATTTCCTAAATCAGTTATCCTATAAGAGAAAAAGCAGGAGAGAATGGAACAGATCTTTGTCAATTCAATAACCCAGTATCTTTAGGCAATCACAAAAAAACTATTCATATGCAGAACCTTTGTGTCAGTGATAGCAAACACGGGTTTTAAGAATTACTTCTTTTACAAGATGAGTAATGAGATTTCTTTCTCAAATTCAAACTTGGTGGCTATAAGCCTGCATATAAAAAAACACTTTACATGCTAATTTTATTTCAACAGTCTAGACTTTGCTAGATTTCCATAGCCCTTCAGACTACTGAAAGAATTCAATTTGTACAAACTGAGAACCCAGTAGCCTTTAATAATCACACTTGTTTCTGCCCCTTAAGCTCGTGTTATCTTGGGACACACTGTCACCTGCTAACTAGAAAAACATTATTTGCTTGCTTTTCCTAAAAATGCCTCTGTCATTCTATATAGATTCTTTGTCCACTTGAAGACAGACACAAGACACTGTCTGTCTGTTTTACTTACTAAACACATATCTTCAAATGCAAATTATAATACAGAAGTTTATTGCTTACTATTCAGGTCATCTCACAACGACACCAAGGACACTGAATTTGAACATTTATAATAGCTTCAGACCACAGCCATGATCACAAAGATTAGGTTTCCTCTAAGCTGAAAGCAGCTCATTTTTATGTTCTGTTTCCTTCAAGTCTTTTGAGCAGCTGTACTGATTCTGGCTGAAATAGAGTTAAATTTCTTCAGAGTAGCTTGTATAGTGCTGTTTTAGATCTGTGATGAAAATGGCATTTGTAACATAGGGGTGTTTTAGTTATTGCTGGGCAGTGCTTACACAGAGTCAAGGTCTCTTCTGCTTCTCACCCCACCCTACCAACAAGTAGGCTTGGGGTACACAAGGAGCCGGGAGGGGACACAGCAGGGACAGCTGACTGCAGCTGACCTAAGGGATATTCCATACCATATAACAGCACGCGCAGCAATAAAAGCTGGGTGAAAGAAGGAGGAAGGGGGGAAATTCAGAGTTACAGTGTTTGTCTTCCCAAGTAACAGTTCTGTGTTATGAAGCGCTGCGTTCCTGGAGATGGCTAAACACCTGCCTGCCAACGGGAAGTAGCAGAGTAGCCTTATTGAGCTTTGGTCCCATGGGCAGCTTTTGCTTTACCTATTAAACTGACTATCTCAACCAACAAGTTTTTGTACTTTTACCCTTGTGATTCTCTCCCCACTGCAGGGGGAGTGAGAGAGCAGCTGTGTGTGGCTTAGCTGCCTACTGGGATTAAACCACAATGGCAGCACAACCTTGACATCCCCCAGCAGTCCTGCCTTGTTACACCAGAGAATAGACATGACTTTAAAGTCTACAATCTGTATGGGAAATAATGATTAATTTACCTATTATTTTTGAACAAGCCTATTTTTAAAAGATGAGTATTTCTCTGTAATTAACAGCCCCTACGAGAAGATGACAAATAATTACAAAAACAACTTTCTGTCACTAGTTAGCGTTGCTAAAAATAATTACTGATAATCATTACATTTTAATGCTGGGTTTTACTTTGAAATTTTGAGACTGCCCTGTAGATATTTTTTTTGTTACTGAAAACACTTTTTCATTAGTAAGGACTACAGGTAGCTTAACTAATGAAATGTCACCCAAAATTTGCACCCTGAAATGTTCTTAGGTTTCCTTAGGTCAACTTAGGAAGGCATTAACTCTGGAGCAAGTTACATACTTTAGTTATTTTTGGCAATTCAAGAGTTCAACCAAGGACAACATAAAATACACTGCAACTATGTAAACATCAAAGGTTCTACTAGTACAGGTGATAAAAACACAGAAGCATCTTCTTGTTTCCCCCCAAGTCATTAGACCATCATGCAAAGCAAACAAAGTCATCAGCTTTCCAGAACTTGCTGAGTCTTTCCTCTCCCTTGTAGACAATCTGATCTTTAATCTATTCATCCTCATAACATGGGTGGGCAAATCAAAACAAAGTGTAACAGTCTACTAGCTGTTTCATTTCTAAAGACTAGCAGTTCCTCTCATAAATCACATGCACTTTCAAAGGCAGA